CTACGGGGTCCTCCGCGAGCCGCTGGCGGTGCTGCACCCGCTGCTGGGCTGCGGCGACCCCTACGCGCTGACGCGGACGCTGCACGAGCTGGAGCCCCGCTACGTGGTCCTCTACGACGCCGAGCTCGCCTTCGTCCGCCAGCTCGAGGTCTACCGGGCCAGCCGGCCGGGGAGGCCCATGAGGCAAGTCCGGGGGTCAGGAGGCCCGTGAGGCGAGGCTGGGGGTTGGGGAGACCTGGGAGGTAAGGGAGCGTGGGGGGAGAGGGGCAGCGGCGAGAGGCCTGGGAGGCCAGGCCGGGCCGCAGTTCCCACCCTCGAGCAGCGTGGTTGGGACACAGACAGGCTTCTGGAACCGCCTGAGCCCCTGCAGATGGTGTCACAAAGCCCAACACCGAGAGCCTCCTTTACAATCCCCAGCCCTGCTAAAAGTTAGCATATCTGTACAGATAACTTAGTCTTCTAAAATAACTTCCTTATAAACTGAGAAGTGACTCTAAATTGCGTCCACATAGAACTGAAGAGTTTGGGGGAATTACTGTACCCAGCCTCCTTGAGTGCCAAGAAACCAGATGAGAAATCTACTGAGATATCAAATGAGAAAACAGCGCTCAGAGAATATGGTGTTCTCGCTGTCCAGTTATCTGAGAGAAATAAACAGAAGGATTAATATCCTAAACTCAGCTGGAACCAAAAGCAGGGCCAAAAGAATCTTGTAGCTGTTGAAACGAATACATCCTTTGGATCTAGAGCTGAATGGGGTCCGGGTCAGCAGTGATGATGGGCAGAAGCTGGCAGTCAAAGCCAAGTACAGCTTTCATACTTGGTGGGGCAGCCTTGGAGATAGCTCATGAATCATGTCGACAGTAATACCCAATTCTGAATCAGAATGTCAGGAGCAGAAGGGGCCTGGGGTCAAACCACTCACTGTAGGAAACAGATGTGGCACATCTGGGTGAGCAGATGTATCTGAACTCATCACACAGTGCTCTTCTCCCTGTCTGCTCTTTACAAAGTATCAGAAAATAAAGACACAATTTAAGGAAGGAAATACCTCTGATAGGAAAGCCACTACAAAGGTGCTAGTGCTGAATTGAGCTCCTAGCCACAAAGCATGCTTTTTTTTTTTTTTTGTCAGAAGAAAACATTGCCAAATTATTTTTTGAGATACTGGATAGAAATCTAATCTGTGTACTTAGGTAAAATGTGTGATGGCCCCATTATGTTAAGATATGGATAAAACAGATCATTGTAAAGACAAAGGTCATGGATTCCAGTTTTTCACTAACAGGAATTTGATAAACTCATCTTTGGATCTCCTGTCCAACTTGTTAAGTGATTGGCAGAAGGGCAGAGACAAAAGAGAAGTCTCCTAAGGTTTTGCAAGTGTTTTATTTGTCCATAATGATGAGGAAAGAATCTCATTCTCCCCTCTAGTTATTTTCTGGTTTTGGCCTAAACTCTCCGCCTGTGACTGCGGGTTTTCCGCAGCCTGCTAGAAAGGAGTGTGGTGGACAGCCTTTCACTCTGCAGCAGATACGCTCTGTGTGGCTGACTTCAGGTGCTCTGCTGATCCCTTCAGGGATAGAACCATTGTGCTTCTGCACGCTTAAGAGTTGCCTTACCTTTCAGGGTTTACTTCCTTATATATGGGGGTTCCACGGAGGAGCAGCGCTACCTCACCACCCTTCGGAAAGAAAAGGAAGCCTTTGAAAAACTTATCAGGTAATGAGGTAGTCAGCAGGACAGACTGCTATGCTGAAGGCCTCAGGCTTCTCTGGCTGATAGGACTGGACTACCAGACTGCCGTGGCGGGGTGCGGGGGTTGAGGGCAGTGACCAAGCAGGTGGTAAGAGCACCACAGCCCTCACCAAGCAGAGGTAAGGTCCTGGCACCCCAACACTATTCCTGGTTTATGATTTCTACACATCCAGGCTCACTGTGGGTAAGCCCTGCTTATTATGAGCATAAGAACTAGGATGTTTTTTTCTGAACTCTTGCGTAGCAATTGCCTCTTTATTATAAACAAGATCTTCCATAAAGTACAAAACCCAATGTTCAATCCCCCACTGTGCCAAAGGAGGGAAAAAAAGAAAGAAAAAAGGATAGATCAGATGGTTACACTATTTAGAATCTTAAGATATTTACTTTCCCAGAAAACTTGGGGGAATTTGATAGGTGTTTTTTTAAAAAAAAAAAAAAATAAGGTTACATTACCAGAAGACCATTTGCATCATGGCTGTACTTAGAAGAAAATTGAATGTGAGAATAAGATCATGTGCTTTTGCCAAGACCTCCATGGGTGATGTGGTAAGAACAAAGGCAGTGTTATATTTAACCAGAAAGGAATGATTCGACGCAGGATTGTTTAGCTCGGCTACAGATCGGCTGATTACAGCTGACAAGAGAAAACATTACAGCTGGCCACTGATGATGAAATGCTCCTGGATAGAAAAAACGAGTGCTAAGCCCCACAGCAGACCCCGCTTTTCCAGGAAAGGGCTGAGAGTCTTTGTGGTTTCATTGTTTGGACATTTAATCACAAGAGAGGACTTACACAGGCATCCATGTGTGTGACTCCCAACACAGTGCCTCTTTCCTGTAACACTGTTACACGAGCTGTTCATTGAAAATCTCAGCACTGGGCAGGCAGGAAGGTCACAAGTTCAAAGCTAGCCTGGGCTATAGTGAGACACTGTCTCTTGTCCATCCCTTCCCACACATACCCATACCAAAAAAAAAATCATAGGAAATACTAAAGTAACAGTAGAGAATTTAGGTTAAGTGGGAATGGGAATCAGAATTTTTAGTGTGAATCACTGGGAATAAATTATGAAGCCAGAAGACAAATTTGATTTACTAGAGAATTTCACTGTCCAGGTAGAATCTGTGGAGTTACTTTTGTTTTACTTTTTTGTGTCAGTACTGGGGCTTAAACTCAGGGCCTGGGTTCTATCCCTGAGCTTTTCCGCTTAAGGCTGGAGCTCTACCACATAAGCCACAGCTCTGCTTCCAGTTTTTTGCTGGTTAATTGGCAATAAGAATCTCACAGACCTTCCTGCCAGGGCTGACTTCAGACCTTTAGCCTCCGGTCTCAGCCTTCTTAGTAGTTAGGATTACAGTGGTAAGCTACCAACACCTGGCTTGGTGGAGTTGCATTTTCTCAGAAGTTGAGTCACTCCCTGCAGTGTTTCTATCCAATCCCAGATGAGCAGGTTGGGATTACCAGTATAAACGTAGCTCATCTTTGTGGGCGGGGCACTGCAGACCCCGGTGCCGATGACAATCCCCATTGTGCAGGTGAAGATGCTGAGGTCCCACGGGCAGGGATTGGTTTCAGATGCTCACACACTACAGGGCAGGACCTCCACTGTTGTTATTTTAAAATAGCCAGACTTTTTGAGTGAGAACTGGGCAGTCCTGGACCTTGATCCTCCTGTTTATGCTTCCTGGACCACCACACCTAATATAAGTGCTTCTGTTGAATAGATCATTTGAGGCATTAGAATTTTTTTTTTAAAGAGTAAGGTTCAGGAAGTGTTAACCTGTTTCCTCCCCCAGGGAAAAGGCTAGCATGGTTGTCCCTGAAGAAAGAGAAGGCAGAGATGAAAGCAACCTGGACCTGATGCGAGGCCAAGCGTCCATGGGCGATGCCATCGACACTCGCAGAGCTGGTGAGTCCTGCAGGGTTATCACTGCCATCTGTCAGGGTGGCTGCGATTTGCACAGCACACCTCAAAGCAGAAATGGTGGGAGAGTGTGTCTGGTCCCCAGCTCCAACCCCAGCTCTGCCCTTAGCCACACACAGCCTCTGCCACGCAGGTGTTCTGTCCCCTGAAGGGAGTTGCAGACACAGCTTACAGGGACTTGTGTTCTATTGCTTCATTGAGGGGCTGGAAGGGGGCAGGGTGGGATCACGGTTTGAGGCCAACTTGGGCAAAAAGAAATTCACAAGACTGGTTCCGCCATTGGCTGGGCACAGTGGTGCACACCTGTGCACACCTGTGATTCTAGCCCCAGGGAAAGCTCAAGTAGGAGGATCACAGCCCAGGCCGGCCTGGGCGTATGGCAAGCCCCTACTTCCCAAACAGCCAGTAGAAAAAGGAGGCTTGGCTCGAGGGGTGGAGTGCCTGCCTGGCCAGCTAGAGATCCTGAGTTCAAGTCCCAATAGTATTAACAATATAACCAATAATTCTAAATACTGATAACACTAAAACGTTCTGGGATGTGCGTGTAACACCAGAGCAGCAACCACATGAAGTGTGGAGTCATTCTGCACGCTGACCTGTATCCCCGGCCCAGTGGCCTGGACCTCCGGCTCCCCCGTTCCCGGCTTTCTGGTGCCCGGTCCCCGGGTCCCGGCCCGGGCCTCAGTGGTAGTGGACGGTGACGCGGCACCCTCCCTGCAGGTGGCCAGGAGCCGGGCACCGAGGCGGCCCGCGTGGTGGTGGACCTGCGCGAGTTCCGCAGCGAGCTGCCCGCGCTGCTGCACCGGCGCGGCCTGGACCTGGAGCCGGTGACCCTGGCAGTGGGTGACTACGTGCTGAGCCCGGAGCTGTGCGTGGAGCGCAAGAGCATGGGTGACCTGGCGGCCTCGCTGGGCAGCGGGCGGCTCTACGCGCAGTGCCAGGCCATGGCGCGCTACTACCGCCGCCCCCTGCTGCTGGTGGAGCTGGATGCGCGCAGGCCCGGCCCGCTGCTCCCGGACGTGGGCTCCCGGCTGGTGCTGCTCACGCTGCACTTCCCGCGGTTGCGGCTGCTCTGGTGCCCGTCCCCGCACGCCGCGGCCGAGCTCCTGGAGGAGTTGAAACGGGGCCGGGCCCAGCCCGACGCGGCCGCCGCCGCCGCAATCAGCGCTGACTCGGAGCCGCTGCCCGACTCGGAGCGCTACAACCCGGGGCCGCAGGACTTCCTGATGCGGATGCCGGGGGTGAGCGCCAAGAACTGCCGCTCGCTCATGCGACAGGTGCACAGCCTTGCCGAGCTGGCCACCCTCCCACAGGAGCGGCTGGCCGCCATCCTGGGCCACGCAGGCAACGCCCGCCAGCTGTTCGAGTTCATCCACACGCCCTACCCAGGCCCGGGGCCCACCGCGGGGAGGCAGAGGACCTGAGCATGCGCCCTGGTGGCCCCAGGGGGGAGGCCCCGTGGTCCTGTGAAGGCTGCCCAGGCAGCCAGCTGCACAGGGCTCGCCTCCCATCCTCCAGGCGCTTCTGCAAAGCCCGGGCTCCTTCCTCCCGGCATTTCTGTCTGGTCAGTGTCCAGGCCCGGCTGCTGAGCCCCACTTCTGAATTGAGCTGTGTCAGGGTGTCCACACGTCCTGCACTCTCCCACATACCCAGTGTTCCCCCTCGCCATCCACATGGCCTGCTGACCCCAGGAGGAGCCTCCAGACCAGCTCTGCGCACGTTTCCTCCAGCTTCAGTGCCTTCCACCTGTGTCAGGTTGGACTTAACGATACTCACTTCAAACCACATCTAAAGCCGGGTAGGTGGCTCACACCTGTAGTCCCAGCTACTCAGGAAGCTGTGATCTTTGGATCCAGTTCAGAACCAGCCTGAGCAGGAACATCTGCAAGACTAGCCCCAACTGACCAGTAACATGCTGGAAGCATTTTGCCCCTGTGAGCATTGCCACAACTGGAGGCTCTAACCACGCTCATACACGGGCACGTGCTCATACATGGGCACATACTCACACTTGGCTGCTCAGGGGAGTGTGAGTTTTAAGACATCCAATGAATTTTACCGGATGACAACACAGGATGGTGCAGGTAATGAGGCCCTTAAATTCTGTAGCCTCCAAAATCTCAAAACTCTCCAAACCCCGACAAAGAGCCACGAGTCCTACGAGGCCATCCCCAGCTCTCTCTGGGGTCCCTGGTCTGAGACAGCAGGCCGGGGCCTCCCACCGCCCTGTTGCTCTCGTCACTTCCCTGCCCGCCCCTCCCCACCCCTGCGAGGATGCAAATAAAGGAATGGCCTAACTAGCATTTGCTCTTCTCCGCTCCAAGTAGAGATGAAATGACTAGAGCTAAATGGAAGACATTATAGACTATATAAATGGAAGACATGCAGAATATATAAGAATTCAAAGGCTGTATTTAGAAATCCATGGAGAAACTCAACTCATCATAAACCTTCGATTGCTTTAGGTCATCTCTGAAATGTGCATACAGAAGAGCCATAACATTTTGATACAGTTTGTTAACTTTGATACACGTAAGCATTATTAACTTATCTTCACATACCACATCTTCTACCTCAAGAGCCAGTGCAGTGTCAGTTCTGCTGGCCAGGTCACAGAGTGGAAGATCTCGTTTCCTGTTGGCTGTTCTTTCCTTTGTGGCACAGAACAGAGAGAAAGTAGACCTTGTGATGAAATGGTCAACGATTTAATGAAAGCACTTTTCAAGAACCTCTCATTTTGGCGTCTTGACTGTTGGTACTTAGCTCTCCATATTCCTGGAGTGTCCATTTCAGGACCCTCCCAAGGGGCCACAGCCACCATGCGGTAGTGTGTTCCGTGGAAGGCAGAGCTCCTGCACCCGTGCCCTGCGCGCACCCTCCTGTGGGCAGCGCACACACCAGCGCCAGCAGCCCACCCCTCTTCTCATAGTCAGGCCATGCTTGCCCCGCTTCGTCCAGCCCTCCTGCTGTGCCGTGGGATTGCACTGTCCCTTTCTCATTTCATCCCATCTGCCTTGCATGGCTACTCACTGCGTGACACAAATGTTAGTGTGACTCATTCTGGGATGACGCTTCCACACACGTGAAGTCTTTCAGCCCTTAAGTCTTGTCAGCTCCCTTTAACCTGCCGTAGGTGTCCAGGGCAGCACATACAACAGTCCCTCAAAAATCTGCTATTCCAGGCTGGGAAGGTGGCTCAGTGGTAGAGCGCTTGCCTTGCATGCATGAGGCCCTGAGTTCGATTCCTCAGCACCACATAAGCAGAAAAAGCCGGAAGTGGCGCTGTGGCTCAAGTGGTAGAGCGCTAGCCTTGAGCTGAAGAGCTGAGGGACAGTGCCCAGGCCCAGAGTTCAGGCCCTACAATGGACAAAAAATAAATGAATAAATCTATTCCACGTGGGAGCTGCTGGCTGCAGATACGTTGACTCTGTCTCAGTGTGTTTTTAAGTATGGCCACAAATTTCTAATGAGCTCTAATCCATCTAACAACCTTTGATAAAGGATCCAAAGGTTGCCAGATGCATGCATGCAGTTGCCAGATGAATGCTTTCCTTGATTTTCTAACCATGTTCACTAACTACGCCTTTTTCTTTTAAGAATTATGACTATCCAGCTTATTGATGAATTCATGTTCATTCAGGAGAGTAATGCTGTTAAACCAACATTGTTCTGTTTTACAAGGGATTTTTTTTTTGGTTGGTTGTAGGGCCTGAGCTTTTTTTTCACTAGAAGCTAGTACTCTCATCACTTTGATTTCCAAGAAAATCACTTCTGAGTTTTGCTTGTTTCAGTCATGCAGCCTCTCAAAGTTAACTTAGCATGATTCAAGAAGAAACTGTTAGCTGGGCGCTGGTGGCTCACACCTGTCATCCTAGCTACTCAGGAGGCTGAGATCTGAGGATCGTGGTTCAAAGCCAGCCCGGGCAGGAAAGACCGTGAGACTCCTATCTCCAATAAAAACCACCAGAAATCTGGAAGTGGCGCTGTAGCTCAAGTGGTAGAGCGCTCGCCTTGAGCTGAAGAGCTGAGGGACAGTACCCAGGCCCAGAGTTCAAGCCCCACGACCGACAAAAAAAAAAAAAAGAAACTGTTCGCAATAAGTAAGAAGTGACCTGCTGCTGGGTGCCAGTGGCTCACCCCTGTAATCCTGGCTACTCAGGAGACTGAGATCTGAGGATCATGGTTTGAAGCCAGCCCTTTCAGGGTAGCCCATAAGATTCTTAATCACCAAAAAGCCAGAAGTAACAGCACTCAGGCTCTGAGTTCAAAAGCCCCAGGCCTGGCACCCAATAAATAAAGAAAACTCCTCAGGCTTGACTGGATTAAAATGCAGCCAGGCTTCAACAGGAACTTTTTTTTTGGGGGGGGGGGGTCCAGATGCGGGCCTGAACTCTGGGCCTGGGCACTGTCCCTCAGCTCTTCAGCTCAAGGCTAGCACTCTACCACTTGAGCCACAGCGCCACTTCTGGCTTTTTT